TCGAAGTCAGCCACTGATTGAAAACCTAGCCTTCGGTAGAAGCTTGACTGCCTTGATTTTAACAGACGATAGAATACATTAAAATAAACAAAAAAACCTTATATGGCATGGGTCCTAAACTCAACTATTTCCGAGGAAAAAAATATCAAAATCTCCAACTGCGTGCATAGAATACCATAAAATACAATGTTTATCACTTTTTTTAACTTCTTTGTGCTTATTTCTGAAAAATAATACCGTTGTAATAAAAATTCGATAAAATTCATATCGAGCAATGTGACAACAGCGCGGCGGTTAACACGATACGCAAATCAGTTCGTATCTGGAATTGGACCGTGTCTGAGTGTTTTTTGCTTACCACTATTTCCTTTTCTTGAGGTGTTTTCCAGTGAGTGCGCGAAAATTGGGTTCGAAGGTGTTCTGCCTGCATCGAAAATGGTTGTGGACATTTTGAGCATATGTTCTAGTTTGTAATGTACTTGTGCGTTTCAAAATTACTGAATTTTGCTTTTCGGTAAGTACCTAAATTATTTTTAATACGTATGATTATTTGGACGACGTGAATCTTTGGGTACTTAATTACATATTTTTCAAATTCATAATTTGATTAAAAGTTAAGTTCCTGTTTTAATAGATTCATAATTACTCAAATTCTAGCTAAAATTGAAGCCCTCTGTTAACGGATTATATTAACATATCGGAATACCGGAGTCGAAATTGTATAAGTAGTGACATCTATTACAGAAAAGGCAAACGACGAAAACAAAGATGACCACCGGTCGCTGAATTACAAGTGGAAGTGGATCTTATTTATGGAAGGGCGAAACGGGCGGTGACTATGAGACGCCTTCATTATAGCCATCCTTCTCTATCGCACGGATTTCTATGACTTACTTTATCGCTCTCACGTAACGGCCGATGAACTATGGGGACTTTCCGAACCTGTATATGCCAGGTTAATGTTTAATCTGTGAGATTTATATGTATATAAAGGGAAATTGCATCTTAGCATTCTTATACTATGAATCTATTGGACGACGGCCAAGAAACACAGACTGAACTCATAAGATTAGATTTAAATCATATATTTTTATTAGTTGTGGTGTTGTTATAAGTTTTCATTTTCTCATAAACTATAGCTTTTGCCAAGAATACACAGGTACACAAAAAAATCCAACCCCAAGAAAGCCGCATATCATTTCCGAAGGAATTCGATGCACTGAGCACGAATTTTGGAGAAAATTGAAATTCTTGGGTGAAAACGCTCAAATATGGGTCAAAATTTATTTTTTCCTAAATTTTGACCAAACATATAATTTTCGTAGCATTTTGAGGCGCTGAACACAATGCCATTAGTAAAATTTACTCATGACCTCGATTTCTCAGAAAATCTACCATTTGAGTGAAAACAGACCAAAATATGTACTACCAAAATTATAAAGTTGGACAAAATTTAGGAAAAAAACAGTTTTTACCTATATTTGAGCGTTTTCACCCAAAAATTTCACTTTTCCGCGAAATTCATCGACAAGTTATGAATTTTGTCTACACGATTATATTCAGAGCATCTAATTCCTTTGGAAGTGATATGTCGTCTTTCGTTCTTTGTTCCTTCTATTCCCTTGTAATTTCTGTATTAACATCACTTTCTGAATGTTCTCATTATTATTTCTTTCAATACAATCCCCCTCAAGCATCGCGGTCACTTTGGCTGGGAACTTTATCAGATTTATGTAATCAGCATCTACTATTTAGCTGCAGCATGTTTCTGTTTGTCTCGCCTTGTAAGCCGCATCAAAGACGCTCATCTCTGGATTCAATCAGTCCGAAATGGCTAGTGATGCCTCCTCAGCCACGTTTTCCCATGCAAATCACATCACCTTCTCACAAACCAGATGTGCTGACATCGATGTTTAGTGCTAGTTGCTTGTCTCATCTCGACGTTTTTCTTCTCTTACATGATGCGGACTTATTTTCTCATTGGGCGCCATATTGCAGACTTGACGTTACTGATGATAGTGGCAGAATCGTAAAATATATTTTTTTTGTTATTTTTGTTAGATTAGTTACGAGTAGAAGATAAATAATAAAAAAAAAACGTGTACAGTATTGTTTTTCGTTTTGCATCATTGATATCTCGAAAGTAGGTTCAGCAAGAGAAAGTTTAATTTTTTCATGCACTTGAAATCTAATATACAATATGTTCCACTTCAAATTAATACAGGGCCATAGCTTCCTTCGCAAAGGAAAGCGAGATAATTTATTTTATTATTGTTTAAAGGGCTTCTTTGTGCGCTAATTGGCAGCATTCGAAAAACCAAATGGCCGATATGAATAACGTAATGTTAAAGGCCATGGAGTAATATTTATTCAATATAATTATAAATACTGATAAATAAATTTCTACAAGTTTTAAGTACCTAAAATATTAAAATTATGATTTTTTTTTACTCGCTATAAATATGTTTCATATTATGTTACTACCATATTCAAAGCTTTGTAACTTTCATCCATTTCGTTGCTTACACATAGCTGCATATTTCTCATTATCGTGCACCCATGGAAACAATCTATTTATTACACCTTTTAAAATAAAATACTTACACTTAAACCGTTTTTGACACTTGAAAAACTAATATAAACACTATCGCAAAAACGTTAATCTAGAGACTATAGTAGCCCAGTGATGTAAGGGTAATAGTACAACTTCAATATTTTTTTGCTCGGGAACTATAAAGATTTTACAAACATTTTTTTTACGATATTGATACCATTTTTCATAACGCATCTATTCCCAAAATTCTTTGGATAAGTTATGAATCACTTTCTATAATTTAATTTCATTTTAATGACTGCAATAAATAAATAGGATATTGTTGTCTTTTATTGATTGTTTCAAAATCTCCTAAATCCTTAAACTGTCTCAAAATAAGGATTAATAAATAAATTCGCATAACAGGAACAACCTCATCTATATATGATTATAAATAAGAAATATTCAACTTTCCATGAGTTTTTATTATTTGACAGCTACCTACTTTACTCAGATGTTTCCGATGCATGTCATCATACACTATTGAAAACATATTTGCTCTTGACAGTTTAAAAACAAATTTAATTTAATTTCCTTCATTAATAAAATTATTATAGGTTATCTTGTCTATAATACAATAGCAACTTTTTTATCAATTTCCAATTTTTATTTTCTTTTAATGATAAGTTATTTCAATATATTCTTTCAAGTCTTTAATTATACAATAATTAAGAAAAAGAAAGTGTTTGATCACAGAATTTAAAAACAAATAACAGTAACGTACATTCCAATATTCTAATGTTAATGTACGTTCCAATATTCTACAAATGTTACTTGAAACCATGAAGCTATATCTAGAGCAAGGACATCATCTTTGCAGTAAAAATATTCTTTATTTGCCTCAGATTAGGAAAATCGTAAAGTTTCATAAGACAGTTTATAGATACTATTTTTTTATTTAAATCTTTGATTGGTTTAAAAACACGAATCAAAATAACTTGATCAATAAAAACTATTTGAATTCTAACCCTTTGTAGTTAGATATATAGGTTGTATATTATTTTTATAACTCAGGAAAGTATAAACAGTTGGGACAGGGTCAAGTTAAAATTAAATTATCAGTACCATTATAGGCAATTAAATGAAATTTAGTAAAAAATTATTACTAGACTTAGATCCTAATTTGTTTTGTTTCAAAATATAATAATTGTTTCGTTTAATGTTGCACTTTATAGAAAACTTTTGGCCTTTTTGTGAAGGTCAACATGTAAAAAAGAAATATGTAAATTTGTTACTACCTACTACAGTAACAGTAATTTTCAGGAAATAGTTTGTTTCATTTCCTTAATCAAGTTAAAGTAGTCATCCTTTTATTTCGGTGATGTGAACTTGTTTTTCTAAAAACTCATTGCGTTTACTTGAAAATACCAAGAAAAATTAAAAGAGATTTACAGTTACTTAATTTAATTTGTTTCTCAAAACTTGTTTCTAATAGAAAAGTCGTTGCAATCACTTTCAAACAAAATGATTAACATCACAAAATCCGCACCCGAAAGCCTCATCGATTTATTCGCATTAGGTACTATAATTGTATGGCTCAAGATAAGCAATAAATTAGTTGAAGTATTTATTAACGAAAGTCGACGACAGCCTTATTTAGCCAACATTCTCATTCAGCTGTAGATTTATAAGAGATTAATGATGCCTACACTTTTGGTTTTATGCCCATTTAGTTGTTCGTCAGATCTATAGGTTTGAAACAGGTGCCTTATACCGATATCTACAATAAATAATCGTGATCTAAGCAGATACGCGCCTATAACTTTAGTTTGCTTAAGCAATGGCAGTCGATCCATTGTTCGATAGAATACAAGAAAATTAAAATTTCATGCAGCAGGTTACTGAAGAAGGAGTCGAAATTGTGGTAGTTTTCATGTTTTGTATTAACTTTGTAACTAAATATTAAAAACCTTAAATTTTCCGTTGCTGTTGCATAAATTAACATCTGTGCTGGTGTTAGAAGTTTTGTAGTTTTAAAATTTGTCATGGCCAGCTGTGACTATAATTTTTATTCATAAACCTCTAAAGAGAACAAAAGAGCTATCTTAAAAATAACCACTGAACATGATGTCGTCTATAAGAAAAAAAGTGCATTGTTTATCAAAATCTAGAAGGTTAAAAAAATTTTAATAGTATTAATCGATGAATGATATTAATTTATATATTATCTGAAAATTGTACACTGTAAAAAAATCGATGTAAGTGAAAGCAATATAGGTACCCGTTAAATAAATTCTGCAGATAAACTCGTATTTCACTCGAGTGACCCCACCCCATTCTATGGTTGTCGTGCGTTGTCTTTGTCTATTCCCAGGGTCATCTTGTGGCGTGGTGTATGGCGGTTGTTTTGGTGAAAATTATGTTTCAATGCAGTGGTTTGATTACAATAATTAAAAATATATTAAGATTTAGATTTAACTTTTTATCGGCAAAATGTTTGCTAGGAATACATTATTTTCATGCTTGACATTGCGTTTACAAATTTAGATGCACTCAATAATAAACATACAATACGCGTAAATTATATTATGTAGAGCTAGCAATATAAATATAACACACTTCCAAATAATCTTACACAGTAGTATTACTCATTTAATCATGTGATGTAACATTTTAATCACTTACAATTGCTAAATATCAGTTTAATTTAAACTTTTACATAGATTATTGCCACCTTGAACTTATCACATTCGACTGGCTAAAATGATACATTTCAATTCTGTATCGCTTACATGTGGTTTATAATAAATAAAATCCATTAACGTTCTGGATTAAATAGCATTATCATGCATCTTGATAGTCTAAAAAATTAGCTTCTGGTAGGCATGGAAAACATGTCCTAGCAAATCGGTAGGGGTAAAGTTCGACCGTAGCAGCTTCTCATCCAACCTTCCCAAGCGCGGAAACCGAGCTCTTTCTCCACTTTCCTGGCACAGACGGAGTCGTCGGAGATGTCTTCGTTAATCAAATCTGAAGAAAATATGCGGAACATAAAATTATTATACTAGAAATCGTCCCTGCATCGTAAAAAAACTCTTAAACACTCTAAAGATAAACTATACCGACATGAAAGAAAAAATATTAAATTTTTTCCATTATGTGACTATAATATTTATAGTGTGGCTAAGCGCTAGTGGTGACGTCACTAAACAGCAAGACTGACGAAATCATGGCATATATTTGCATGAAAATTCAACTTCCTCTCGTTTTTCTGATAATCCAGAGTTGTTACAGCCTAAATATCTTCACATCATCCATTGTATATGCAAAACAGGTAACATTTCTTTAAACTTGACAACATATTTAAGGTTATGTTCACTTCTTAGACTCTACATACTTAAACTGGTCTACATACTTAAACACGATTCATGCCATATGTAAATGTGGAAATTACACGTTTTACGTCTTACATATTTTTGTTAAATTGAATTGTCTGTTTAGACATATCTACTATTTGTGTCAAAGCGAAAGTGTGTAGTTCGTTGCTGACGTCATGTAAAACTTAAGCCGGCTGAGGAGCACAGCATACTATTTTCACATCAAGACTTTTCCCATTCTACACAGGCAAATATTAGGGGGAGTAAAGATTGGAAGCACTCCGACTACTTCTAAAATGGCGCCATCTGTAGTTTCAAATGAACAGGTATCCTGGTCGAAATGGATGTCACTTGTCACATTTCGAGCTGTTAATTTTTATATACAGGGTGGCCAAATGAAAACGTAACAGAGCCATTTTCAGGAACTGCGTCAAAATTGTAGCAAAACGTTCAGACCCGTCGATTTTAAATTAAAGGAGGATATTCTTTGCTGTTATTTTTTACTTCCCCAAGCAAGGGTAAGCATGACCCCAAAATATTTAAATGGCATTGGGGGTTGAGTAATATTTCTTTTGAAAGCTCTTACAATTCTCTTTACTCTCTAACTCTTTAAATTTTATAATTCCGCCCAATACTTTGAAAAAAATTTACATTTTAAAATTTAAATTATGTTTAGTTGCTTACTTACTACTTAGTTGATTAAATGTTCAAACTGATGACCGTCCGCTTCCATACAAGAATAATGATTTTGTTCGAAACGTTCGCGCACATTCCGAAGCATTTCCGGAGTGATTCGACGGCATTCGTCGACGATTCTTTGACGCAAATCTTCCAGCGACGCTGGCTGTGATTTATAGATTTTACTTTTTAAGTATCCCCACAAAAAGAAATCAAGGGACGATAAATCCGGTGATCGTGGAGGCGATTCAATGCTGCCTCTTCTCCCAATCCAATTTCCTAGAAAACGTTGGTCCAAATACTGACGGGCAATTAATGCATAATGCGGAGGAGCACCGTCCTGTTGAAAAATCAAATGATCTTCATCATACTCTGGAACATTTTCAATAATTTCAGTCAAGGCAGGGTCAATAGCGTCTTCCAGTAATTGCAAATACATTTGGCCAGTCAAATTACCAGGTAGAAAAAAAGGACCCACCAGCCGGTCAATAAAAATTCCAGCCCATACATTTAATTTTCCTGGTTGCTGTGTATGCACCTCTTGGGTTTGAATCTGACCAATAGCGGCAATTGTGACGATTTACCGTCCCGTTCAAGAAAAAACTGCATTATCAGAAAAAACAGATGTTAAATCATTCACTCATTATTTCGCAAAATTGTCATAATCATCCTCATGAAGTTCCTGGACTAAATGTATTTTGTATGGATGGAATTTATTCTTCTTCAAAATGGTTTGTATGCTAGTTCGATTGATTTCATACACAGATGCCAGCTGCTTCGTACTTAATGTAGGATCAAGATGAACTTGTCCCAAAACTGCAACTTCACTAGCTTTATTAGGTTTTATAGGTTTTTCAATTTCTCGTTTTTTATTGGCTACGTTCCCTGTCTCTTGAAATTTTTTTACTAACTCTAACATACTTCCTCCTGACATATCGATCTTGATGTTGTTCATTAAATAGCTGAGCTGTTCTATTCGCACATTTATTGTTCATAAAATAAAGCGAAATGATATCTACCCTTTCCGCAGTGGAATAAACCATAGTGTTTAATTTTCAAAAATATCAACCAACGCTTCCAAATAATACTACAAAATAATTTGGAATCTACTAATTTTACGTTCATTGTGTGTGTATAGCATTCATTTCTGTTTTTTACAATTGTGTTTTTGTTTACGAAAGTGATAACAAATCGCCAAAAACCAATGTAACGCAAGAAATACTAAATTTATATCATTGGCGTACTTAACTAGAGTTCGACTGACATTTTTACCGTTACTAATTGTTTGTACATAAGTTTCAACTTTAAAATCAAAATTCTTTATAAGTATTAGGCGGATTTATAAAATTTAAAGTCTATTGTAAAGAGAATTGTAAGAGCTTTCAAAAGAAGTATTACTCAACCCCCAATGCCATTTAAATAGTTTGAGGTGATGCTTACCCTTGCTTGGGGGTGAAAGTGGCGGAGTCAAAAATACCAGCAAAGAATGTCCTCCATTAATCTAAAATCGACGGGTCTGAGCGTTTTTCTACAATCTGGACGCAGTTTCTGAAAATGGCTCTGTTTCGTTTTCATTTGGCCACCCTGTATTTATTACATCCAGTATCCTATAATATTTTATTTTCCACTACTTTTCTATTATTTGACTTGTAAACATTTATGAATGCACTGTAATTATTTCCTGGTGACGTTATGTATTTTCCTATTTTTCTTTTCCCTAATATTTGCAATATGGATATTTACTTTTCATATGTCACTGTGTTTTTTAAGATAAATGATTCTGTGGGAGATCTTGCGCCCATATAGGTTAATAAATCACTCGATGCAGAAATGAAAAAAATATAAAATCTCACACATTTGCTTCCTAAGATTGCAGCTGATCAACAGTCTTAAAATATTGCCAGCTGCTTACTTAATTGACAGAAACTGAGATACTATAATTTAAAAACCTGTATACCTAAAAAATAAGACATGATAAAACTTCTCTACTTTAAAATATTCCATTTTTTACTGGTACACAAATGATTTTCAGACAGATAAGCTATATTAAAAAATATTTAAATGAATCTATAAATCTAGAGCAAAAGATATTAAAATATGGTTTGCAGGCTTCCGTGACAGTTGACAGTGGCTGAGTGGTTGAACAATTTCCTTGACGTTTCGAAAAACATATCATTCTCATCTTCAAAAAAAATGTGACCCTGACAGTTTCATACCGACGGCGTGGTAACCTGCCCGGAAACTGTTCAATCGTAGACAATATCACAAATTACATGTCATTTAATAAATTTTAAAAGAAAGTAGTTAATTTGCTGGTGTTTCTCATCATATATAATAATTATTGCTATAAACTATTTCTATTAGAAAATCGAATTTAATTTACCTTCACATTTCATATTGCATTTCCCTCCTTTGGCTCCAAATTTGCACCAGTCCTTACTATTAATCTGTAAATATGAAGTATACGCTGTAGATTAACAAATAAAATCGGATGTGAATATACATATAACTGAAATACAATTTTTCGTAATGCCTCACCTGAAATAGTCCTAGCCCTTTACTTCCATTTGCTTTATTGATTAGCTTAGCAGTATCTTTGCCACTTTCACTTTCAACTAAACACACCCCTAAAAAATAAAAGCATTTAATTTAAAATACAAAGACAACTGTTTACTCCACCTACATAGGCTATATACATTTATTAACACCAACAGACTTGTTTTATATTATATTACTACTTTATTATTGTTCGCTGTTTATAATCATGAGAAATTTGTATGCCTCATTTCATTTGCTTATTTGTGAAGGATACATATTATGCACTAACCCCAAAATTATATTACTACATTTTGAAATACTTTTTAGAAACTCTAAAAACAATGATTGATTGAAAAATGCTCTCGGTTTTTTAAGACACTCCACTTTGTGTTTAAAATCTCGCAATAATAACATTAATTCAGTACACATTCCTGTATTTATTATTCTGTTGATAAGAAGGTCAACCAAGTGGAATTTCCAATACAATATCTAGAAAAAAGAGGATATGAATGCATAATTCAGAGATATAGGTATTGTGGTTAGGGTTCTTTATTATTTTCATATTTCTCACATCAAAACACTACGAAGTCAAGAAAAAAATTTACTTTTAAATTAAAATGATACAGTTACAGTTTTTCCACTCATTGACAAATGTCCTTTGAAATCCTTACTCATTGAAACTATTGAGATGAGTTGCGATACAGGTGAGCAAAATTTATCCAATTTAATAAAATATGTCATATGTTGCAACAACAGAAGCTATTTATAGTCACCTTTATACTGACTATTAAAAATATAAAAACATAAATAGCAACCATATTACACTGGTTTACCTTTATCCAAAGTTTCGCAATTTGCAATTGTAATTTTATTATTATTTCCGATCATACGTTATCAAATGTTCTGTCACCGAGCTATTGAATTAATTAGCTACTAAATGATATTATGAGTAATATTTCCATTTGTTTAAATTATGCAATTAACAACTTGCTTTATAAGTTGATGCTATCCATCTTGGGTTTGTGTCAGGAATTCTTTTACATCAAAAGAACCGCATCACTTTCACAATTTAATGAATGTGCTGTATTAATATTGAGAAATATATATTTTTTTAGAACGTTGTTACAGGCATTAATAAGTTATACGGAACTATGAGTAGTATTACGAGTTTTTTTGAGACAATTTAGAATTTTTTTCTTCCAATGTGGTGACAATAGATATTCATGCTTTTTATTTTAATTAATTAAAAAATAGTTTTCCCTTTTTTTATACACGCAACAATCAAAATATGCTTGAAAACAATTGCGCAAGTTTGTTTTCTTTTAACTATCATTTATTTTTGACTATTATTATAAAAAATATATTATAGTACTCCTTAATTGTAGTCAGTGAGTAATTGGTAGAATCCACATAATTAAAAAAAATTAAAACACTAAAATATAATTAAAGTAATGCCCAGATATTGAAGAACATGACGATTGTTGCTGGAGTACACTTTATGCTGTATGAGTAAAATAAACTTAATAGTAATAATATAAAATATATTGAAAATATTATAAAAAAACAAATACCTCGAAGAATATTTTAATTTCTTTAAAAAATTGTTTCTTTTGAACTGTGAACTCAATTCGGGTGAGACTACTTTTTTGCGCTTTTTTAATATAAATATTGTGTTACATTTGCCAGCGAAAACCAAAATAAAAAAATCAACCTACAATTTCCCACCAAGGTCCGGCTGAATCCTCTGTTGACCAGCTCGGCGGTGAGGCCACACCGCGTGTAAACTTTGGCCCGCGCCTTCTCCACGGCTGTCAGAAGAACCGCCAAAAGCAGTACAAGAACAAGTTTCCTCATGATCCTGCTGCAGCACCACCAGCACGAAACACGGCACAAAAACTAACGGTACTCACTGTGGAAAATCTTTATAAAGGCGATCTATTTTCCAAAAGGTGTTAATCTTATCTCTTCCTTATGTTATTGCAGGCGATTTATGATGTAGACTTCTGAGTTTCTACTTTGCGTAGCGACTGTTAAGTATTTACCAGCCTTGACAGTGCTGAACCTTGACTACGGTGTTCCTGGTATATTTACCGATTAAAATGCGCGCACGATTAATTTGATGCAGCCAGTGACTGTCCAAGGAAGTTGTGCCTCCACGAAATCCTCGTTAATTTTGTCAACTTTCGAGATAATTCGTGCGCGACTTCTCAAGAAAGATTAATAGAGACAAACACGCGTATAGGAGCGTTAAGTAAATATGCCTCAGTAAATTTCGTCTTATGACTTATTTAAAAAAAAAACATTGTGTTTTAAATGTTATGTCGAAAATGTTGATAAAAATACTACCTATATGTTTCGATTCAAATCTATTAGTTCATATTCCAAACAACATTTCTCTTCAGCATCCTTTATATTAGAAATCTGAAGTAAAAATAATTTAATTTTATGATAAATAGTAAAGAGAAAAAAAGGCTTATCTCACAGAACTCTTTAGATTAGGTCTCATTTTCGGGCAACAGATAATTTGAATTAATTTTTGTGAGAACTTTTCTGTAACATGAGATCGACACACCTTCTTAGATATGGCAATAGAAATATAATAAAAATGAAGGTAATTACTTCTAACGGTAATTGACTTTTGCTGTAAGAAACATAATCTATAAATAATCGACCTGCTATGAGCTAAAATAAAAAGAACATTTAAATGGAATCCCTTGGTTATTGAACATGTTTAATAGAAATGTAACATATTCTAAATTTAACTGTATATAGTGTTCATAAGAAACATAGTTATGTTTCCCATCTTAAAAACAGTTGAAGTCAGTATCCCCAGAAATATAATTTCATAAATTCGTCTTTAAAAACAAAGTTTTTCCAGTTTAATTTGCAATACTCCTCTTCAAGGAAAGTTTTAGCAAAATATTGGACATTTTTTTTATAATTTGATTGCCCTATATCTTTAACAGTCTATATTATTCCTACAGTCTCCCATCAAAGGCGAGTGAGGCCTAATATAATGTCTTGGCATTCATACCGTTAATATGAAAACTCAAGCAACCTGGATAAGTGATCATCCGAGGAAGGCTCGCGATGCTCCTCTACCTTCTAGTGGCCTCTATCTCGGAAGCTAGATAAATTTAGGTGAGACATAGGTACCATCCCTCGGAAAGAATGTAAAACCATTGGTCCCTTGTCTAAACAATGTTAGGAAAGTAAAAGGAACCCTACGACAAAGTGAGGGTTCGGCAAAATTTCCAGGTTGGGGGTTGCTTGTCTCCTGGCGTCGGTGTTTAGCCATAGTAACAGAAATAGACCAACGTAAAATAACCAAAAAGCAAAAGCAAGCAAATAGTCCTAATGCGCTATAATCCTGATTAACTTGAGTTTTATAAGAGAAACCCCTGGGAAGAACTTGCGTGAGAGAATTCTAAACCCCTAACATCTAAAACCCAGTGGCGGCTGATGCGGGTAGACTCTGGGCTGCCACCTCCCTTAGAAGTTTTCATAGTAAAAAAATAATGTAAAATTTAGTTTAGAATGTTATCTACATAATTAAATAGATCAACCTTATGAAAGATATTAAAAAGGAAATGTTAAATTTGTAATGTACAGTCAATTTAACTCGACTTTCATTCATTCGCAAAATTCGTTTAAAAACTCTGAATACGTGAGCTCCAACTGATTGTAGCACTTGCAATGCTATCTATTGAAACAAAAATAATGTTGCGTACATTTTCCCTATATTTCAGCGGTACTTAAAATAAAACTACTCAGTTATATTTGATTTTCAATACTTAAGAGGCCGCCACTGCTAAAACCCCTCCTTTGAGTTATATGTATCGCAATAACGAAACGTTTGCGGACATATTTTACTATAAACTATATTTTATGTTTTTGGTCAGAGAATCACCTGTACAAATTGTCGGTGAAATATTGTTAACATACGTCAACCCTATCAAAAGAAACAGCATATTTCAAAATTTATAAGAAGCCGACACTATAATGTAGCGTGAACATAAAGATATCAAAATAAATGGAATAACTACTGGCATAAAAATAACAAGGAAATCTCAACTGACCTCTAATTTTAAGACCGTCTATAAATTTATCAGGGAATGATTTTTAAATTTGTCCGATTCGGATTAAATAATTATGGTTATTAAACATCAGTCCGTGGTCAATGTCAAACTAAATATATATTTCTAGGTAATGTTTATTATTAACAACAATTGTTATAAAAAAATTATTTGGTATCACTCTTGTTAAAAGTGACAAAAAATTGTCTTGAGATATCGGTTCGGAAGAAATATTTTTATTGTAAATAAGAGAAATTAAATAAATTATGTGTATATTATCTTTGTTCCATGCGCAATTATGAAAATAGATATAACTTGGTCATTTCGCAATGTTTATATATACAGGGTGATGAGAAGTATTGCAGGGGTATATTCAGGGGATTTAAATTAAGAAAAATATACCCAAGTTATAGACCGAATGTTAACTATTGTTGAAATAACTAAATATTTATTTAAAGAAATTTTTGCGGATGTTTGCTCTACGGGTACGAAATTTTTTAAACAATAATTTTCCTGGACGCGGGATTGGTAGAGAGGGTCAAATAAATTGGTCAGCAAGATCTCCAGACCTAAACTCACTCGATTATTTTGTTTGGGGGTGGATCAAGTCGTTGGTGTACGAAACAAGAATAGACACAAAGCAAGCATTACTTAATCGCATTATGAATGCTGCCGCTGTAATAAGAAATAATCACGATGCTATTAATCTTGCTATTCGCAACATCAATAGAAGAGGAAAATGTTTATTAATTATTTACCATTTATGAAATTCTTATTTCGTTTTCCTTTAATAAAATAAAAATCAATATATTTTTTTTACTGCATTTATTTCAACTATAGTTAACATTCGGACTATAAGTTATGGGTTTATTTTTCTTACTTTGACCCCCTGAATCTATCCCTGCAATACTTCCTATTCCTCCGGAATCACCCTGTATACAGGGTGTTAATGATAAGTTTTGCCAAACTTTAATGGGGTATTCTACCGATGAAAATAATCAAGTTTTGCCCTATAAAAATTTTCCTGGCATAAGAGATTGAGTGATAAAATTTGGGATAAGATTTTTTCATGGATAACTTATTCCAAAATACACTCCAGTGGCGTAGTTATTGGGACAGTAGGGGACCTTTTTTGAAAAAAAATCGTCCGCCACTGGTTTTTTAAAATAATTTTATATTTTTAAAATGTACAATCAATTTGTGGCAAAAAAGTATTCTTGTAAAATATTCGTAATATTTACTGGTCTTTAGATAACTGGGAAATCAAATAAGAAGATACGTTGCTATTTACCATTTTCTGTTGACTGCTAAATGTGTAACAATAAATTCAATACCTAATTTTTTGAGAGAATTCAAAACACTATACAACATCAACATGTTTTGTGTGTTGCAAAAAGTATTTACGTATCTTCTTATTTGACAAACAAACAAAATTTTGCCCATATTTAAAATGCTATTATGCTTTCCAATGTATTTGGACCTCCTAAACACGAATCCGGTATTAGAATTTAGCTATCACATTACATTTTTATTCTAACCTCAAAAAACTGGTAAAAACCAGTCAAAATGTGCGAAAATTACGAAAAAAAAAAGAAACCTGCATTTTTCTATATTCTTCACTTTTTCAATGAGGAAATGGACCCGCTGAATCTAAATCCACCTCCAGAATTAAACTGATATAATATGTCAGCTATTTCTAACCTCAAAAATGTCGATCACTTTCACAAATATTTTTAAGAGAATTTTCATTTTTTTTTAATTCAATTGATTTATGCCAAATTTAGTAAAAATTTTTTGCCAAAACTTTTGACTTCTGACCCCAGATTCGTTATCAGCGACCGCGAAAACCCACGTATACCAAATTTGACTTAGATCGGTTGATTTTCGAAAATATCGTCTGTCATATTGAATCCGCCGTTTTGAATTTTGCAAATTTGACTTCAGATTGTTAATTAACGACCTCAAAAAAAACCGTATGCTAAATTTGGCGTAAATCGGTTGAATTTAAAAAAAAATGTTTGTTTTTAAATATTGATTTGTGATCGATATTTTTGAGGTTAGAAACAACTAAGACGTGCCAGCTTAATTCTGGAGGTGGATTTGAATTCAGCGTGTCCATTTCCACATTGAAGAAGGCAAGAATATGAAAAATGCAGGTTCTTTTTTTTACGTACGCCGTACATTTTCGCACATTTTTACTGTTTTTTATCAGTTTTTTGAGGTTAGACAAAAATATTATGTTATAGATAAATTTTACCGGATTTGTGTTTAGAAGGTCAAAATGTATTGGAAAGCTTCAAATACGGACAAAATTTTTTTGTTTTTAAATTGTTTTCACAAAAATTGAGAGCTTTCAGTCTTGGAGACGCCATATTGGATTTTGCAAAGGCGCACTCAGCATTTGAAAGTAGACATCCTAAGTTTTAAATTTTAATATTTACTTTTAGCAGAGCATAAACTAAATTTCAATGTTGAAATACTTTTACTTTTAAGCTATCGACAATAAACATGAAAAATATATATAGCAAAAAAAATATTTTTTCAATTCACAAACTTTAAAATTTAATATAATATCACTTTGAACAAATACAAGGTCTGTTCAGAAAAAAAAATTTTGAAATTGAACCAAATTCCACCAAATTGGGTATGCAGGGGTTTTCGGGGTCGCTAATTACGAACCGAGATCAGATTTGCAAAATTCAAAATGGGGGATCCAAGCTAACGGTCAAAAAAATTCGTGAATTTTTGACTTTTTAAATTTTGACCGTTAGCTTGGATGCACCATTTTGAATTTTGCAAATCTGATCTCGGTTCGTAATTAGCGACCCCGAAAACCCCTGTTTTTTTGGTCGAATTTGGTTTAATTTCAAAAATGTTGTCCGCCATCTTGAATTTTAAAATTCTGACTTCAGATTCATAATCAGCAACCCCAAAAACCTAAGGAACCACCGTGACCTTGACAATATGCCATCTAAAAAACAGTGAATCTTAAAGGTTTAAAGTG